GTTGGAAAGTGTACTCTAGATTGTTTGCTACTTTTAAGTGTCGGTTCAGAAATATAAAAAATGCGGTGTGCAGTCATTTCATTTGTATTAAAATTTACATATCATCCGCGGCACCACAAACCGCATATTCCGTCGTAAATAATAGGAAAGTTTCATTGCGTCATTGTTTGATCTTCCGTCTCGTGAATCGTAATGTACTATTTCTGCAAGGATACATTTTCAGCTAACGCTATACTTTATTGCTCAACTGGCAACTGTAGTAGTGTGCAAAACAAATAAATTTCCGTTACTTTTAATTTTCAAGTCTAAAATCCGCTGCAAAGCATCTTGTAATTATAAGGAGGATTTATAAAAAAATAATTAAATGTGACAAAGACTAAATAAGCTATATTTAATCACATTTAGCAGATAGGAAAAAAGCACGCCAGGCAATGATTTCCACTGACGTCACGCAAATCGACGCAAGACCCTACCTTGTATTCATTGTATCATGTGTCAAACACGAGTTGATGACATTTATAACATAAAACAGTACTTACACACTTTTCGATCTGTTTCTATGGCGCTAAGAGCTTGGAAAAGTTGATTAGAACCAAACAAAACAAATCTCAATCAGTTGGAAACACTAATCACAAAATATTCCCCCCAGGAAGGGGGTATGTTCTGTGACACTAATGTCAATAAAACACGTGTCAAATTACTACTTAACTTGTAGTCATAATGTTAGGCACCAGAAGGCGTCTGGACTTTTGAACTCGCCTCAAACTCCGGCGTCTGTGTTAGGGCGTTGCCAAGTTAATTTTGTATTAAAATATTTTATTTTAATAATTTAAACAAATTGTAAGCAAGACTTTGTTCGTTTAAGCGCAACGTTCGCCTGCGTTATTAATGACAATTTAAATTTATATTTAAAAAATCTCTCATAATTTCACAAAAAAAACATTTTTTGCCCGTACAAACAACTTATTTCAGCGCTATCAAAGATTGCGTGCATTAATACATCCGTCCAATAACATCCTGTCTCTGTCCCTCTCGCTGGAGTTGAAAAAAAAAGGTGGAGTCGCAATTCGGGCGCATTCGCCATCGGATAGCAAAGCATCTTAAAAAGCTTTAGGGGCGGAGCCCGCTTAAGTAATTCCGCACCATCTAGCGTTACGTGGCCACGCAGCCCTGACTTAAGTCATCTCAGTTCAGTGAGACTCTCCAAACAGTCCAAGCAGTAAAATATGGATTTTCCTTCTGCTTCCAGACTGTTAATGTGGCGGTTTTAAGCATTTTTGTTCAGTGCACCGGGTGGACGAAACTGAGCCATCATGTGTGCGACTATTTTCCACACGCAAGATCCTAAGCCAAAGTTGGACATGATGTCTTTCCAGGATTGTGTTGCAGACGAACATTGGGACTATCTGTTTGCCAACAGCAAGGCAAATCCGCAGGAAAACACCCCGAAGATTCACTGCAAACTCGAGCAGACTGATTCAGACGAAGGGTGAGTCAAACGCGCAGAATGAGTTTTTTTTGGAACAATTACCAAGTTTGGTACGTCATCTTTCCAGATGTTTCACAAGGAAACAAGCCCTTAAAACGGTGTTCATCGTTTATTTACAGTTTTCCTTAAAAAGTTGCGATGTAAATTTCCCCAAAGACCATCAGCAACCGCGTAATTAAGACAAAATCCCATGGATAAAAGTCGAAACCATCGGCGATTCTTCCATTGGCAACACTTGCCTAATACCGGGGCTGTTGGCAAAGTACTGCCTACAGCCAAAAAAGAGCCAAAATCACTCTGGGTTTTTTTTGGCAGTTACCGATCGGCGATTTCCCCCAAAGCGACGGAAACGAAGAAAAACCCCAAACGCCCCACTGCATTCGCACTGCAAGAGTCCAAATTCAACGTGAACCGATTTCATTGCGAATACGACGGCTGTAGTCGCACCTACAGCACTGTAGGGAACCTCCGAACGCACATGAAGACTCACAAAGGTCCCTAAGAGCGTTGCCGCAATGCATTAACTAATAGCAGTTGTATCCGCAGGTGACTACCGGTTCAAATGCACAGTCTCCGACTGCAACAAGGCCTTCCTGACGTCCTACAGCCTTAAGATCCACGTGCGGGTGCATACGAAGGTGAAGCCGTTCGGCTGTATGCAGGATGACTGTCATAAGGCCTTTAACACCTTGTACAGATTGAGGGCCCATGAGCGCATCCATAACGGGCAAACGTTCAACTGCGAAGCGGCCGGCTGCAAGAAGTTCTTCACCACTTTGAGCGACTTGAAGAAGCATCGGCGGACGCATACGCGCGAAAAGCCTTATAGGTATTCGCCCTTATTCGGGCCCTTCGATTCTAGTAAGCCCAAAATTTTTCTAGGTGCGAAGAAAACGGCTGCGGAAAGTCATTTTCCGCCTCCCATCACCTGAAGATGCATCATCGCATCCACAGCGGCGAAAAGCCGTACGCGTGCAAAGAAACGCCGCAATGCAGCCGCGCCTTTGCCACGTCGCACAGCTTAAAGTCCCATATTAAGACGCACCAAAAAGGCACCGTTCAGAACAGTGGCGGATCCGCTCCTGAGCCGCAAGTCG